TAATACCATGAAACTGTGTATTTAAAAATAGTTAAGATGGTAAATTTTATGTTGCATGTATTTTACAATAATAATAAAAAGAAAAAGGAAAGAAATCTTCTCTCTTAATGTGAATCCCAATGGTACCCTTGAATAGAGAACGAAGACAGTCCCAAGTGCACCATCTGGCTCTCTTGGGACAAAGGATGGTGGATTTCTGAGAAGCCGTTGCTCTGGACCCCTCCCTGAGACTTTGCAGCTCTCACAGGCCCTGAGCAGGTTCACTCAATGCCCCCCTGGGGCTTGTTCCTTGTGGGGAGGTAATCAAGGGAGACACTTTTGTGCCTTTGGAACAATGTTCTCTTTGCCTTAACCATCTGTTAATGTCCTGGGTAACCCTCCTCCTCGCTCCTCTTCTAACACTGACTAGGTGCTTCACCATTAGGACATGGATTCAGTGTAATGCCTTTAAAAAAGGCAAATCTTTCTTAAACACAATGGCAAGTTCAATGGCCACACTGGGGGACTGACCTGGCAACTCCCCAACCCAGCTCACCTCACATGTCTCCCTCCTTCTCATCCCCTGTCCTCAACTGTCCTTTGTTATACACCTTAGACTCTTTGGCTCTCTTGAATCCTTTGATCGGGCCCTCATACACTCCTCTGTCCTCCAACCCTCTCTCCACCCCTACCAGAACTTTCCCTTCCCACCTTGGCCCCTTGACTCCCATAGTAATTTCAGCTTGGGGCCTCCTCCCCCATCATGGGCTCTTGAGAGGCTCACAGACCCCCAAGAGCAACCTCCTGAGGCTGAAACAGGTTGATTGTAAACAGGAAATAAACCCACAAACCACCCACACTTTGTACTTATCACATCTAAAGTATCACTTCTTGAGGCCGGAGGTTCTCAAAGGCCCCAAGCTGCTTAACCGCAAATTTCTTCCTTAAAAAAATATTTAATTATAGTAAAAAACACAAAGCATTAAGTTTTTTATTATTTAGATTTTATTTTTCCTTTTTCTGCCAAAGTCCCTTGGTACATAGTTGTGTATTTTCAGTTGTGGTCCTTCTAGTGGTGGCATGTGGGATGCCGCCTCAGCATGGCTTGATGAGCGGTGCCATGTCCGCACCCAGGATTCAAACCCGAGAAACCCTGGGCCGCCAAAGCAGAGTGTGTGCACTTAACAACTGGGCCACAGGGCTGGCCCCAGTTTTTTTTTGATGGAGATTAGCCCTGAGCTAACTGCTGACAATCTTCCTCTTTTTGCTGAGGAAGGCTGGCCCTGAGCTAACATCCATGCCCATCTCTCTCTACTTTATATGTGGGATGCCCACCACAGCATGGCTTGCCAAGCGGTGCTGCCATGTCCACCCCCGGGATCCGAACCAGCAAACCCCAGGCCATCGAAACGGAATGTGTGAACTTAACCGATGCACCACTGGGCCGGCCCCACAAAGCACTAAGTTTACTGTCATGAACTGTTAACAAGTGTACAGCTCAGTACTGTATATAGATTCTTGTGGTACAAGAGATCTCTATCACTTTTTCTTCAGTAAACTTGAAAATCTATAACCATCAAACAACTCCCCATTTCCTCCTACCCCCAGCCACTAATGACCACCATTCTTCTTTCTGTTTCTATAAATCTCACTGCTACAGATACCCCATATAAGTGGAAATGTACAGTACTTATCTTTTTGTGACTGGCTTATTCCCCTCAGCATAAAGTCCAGGCTGTCCTTTTTAAGGCTGAATAATGTTGCATTGCGTGGATATACCACATTTTGTTTACCATTCCTCTGTTGATGGACATCTGAGTTGCTTCCCTTTCTTGGCTACTGTGCAAAATGCTGCAATGAAAATGGATGTGCAAATTTCTCTTCCAAATCCTACTTTCAATTCTTTTGCATATGAAACTAGAGGGAGTTTGCTGGATCATATTGTAAGTCTATTTCTGCACCACATTACCTTTCCACCAACAGAGCTCAAGGGTTCCCATTTCTTCATATCCTTGCCAACAAGTTGTTTTCTGTTTTGTTTTGTTTTTTCTTTTTGATAGTGGCCAGTCTAAGGGGTATGAGATGATATCTATCCTGTTGTTGTTTTGATTTTAATTTCTCTAGTGATTACTGATGAGCATTATTCCATAAGCTTGTTGGCCATTCAAATATCTTCTTTGGAGAAATATCTATCCATATGTTTTGACCATTTTTTAATTGAGTAGTGTGTTTTTTGTTGTTGTTGAATGTACAATTTCTCTATGTATTCCAGATATTAGTCTCTTAGCAGATTTATGATTTGCAAATACTTTTTCCCATTCTTTACCTTCCCTTTTTGATAAGTTGTTTGTTTCTTTTGATGGCCAAAAGTTTTTAAGCTTGATGTAGTCCCATTTGTCTATTTTGCTTTTGTCCCCTGAGATTTCGGTGTCATACTTAACACATCCATGCAAAATCCAATGTCATGAGCTTTCTCTCTGTGTTTTCTTTGGTGAATGTTATAGTTCTGGGTCTTACATTTCAATCTTTACTCCATTTTGCCTTAGTTTTTGTATACACTATAAAATAAGGGTCTACCTTCATTGCTTTGCATGTGGACTTCAAATTATTCCAACACCTTTTGTTGCAGAGACTGCTCTTTACCCACTGACTGGTCTTGTCACTCTTCTTGAAGACCATTTGACCATACACAGGAGGGTGCATTTCTGGGCTCACTATTCCATTCCAGTAGTCTATATGAGTGTCTTTATGCCAACACTACACTATTTTTACCATAGCAATGTAACATGTTTTGAAATCAGGAAGTGCAAGCCTCCAACTTTGCTTTTTTTCAACATTTTTTGGCTCCTCAGGGTCCCTTGACATACGATATGAACTTAAAGATAGCTTTTTCTATTTCTGTAAAATATGCCATTGGAATGTTAAATGGCACCTCTTTGCTTTCTTTGTTGTTTTTGCAAACTCATTCTGCCTCTCCAAAGGAGCACCCACAAAAAGGATACTGGGAAATGGAAATAGAGACTACCCTCTGGGTTCTATTGGGTTTTGTCCCCTCAGATTGGTCTCTGAGCATTGAGATGAATCCTAGAGAGACCTGTGGGCCAGGTAGAGCTTGGAAACCGAGCACAGTGAGGGTGGCATCAATGGATACACTTCTGGTAGTGTGGGGATGGGGAATTTTAAGGCCAGGGAAGGAAGGAGAAGAAGAAGATATGGGGTGTAGTCATGATTTAGGGCAAAGAGAATGTAGGAGGAATAGGTAGAAGAAGCAGGTCTTGAGGAAAAGGGTGAGGACTCAGAATGGGGGGAGAGGAGACGAATGAGAGAGATGAGGGAGCCATTATCCACATGTGCGGATGCTTTTGAGAGAAAAGACGTGGTTTTGAGGGACGAATAAAATACTTGAAGATTCAGATGAATGCCTTTGAGACTGGAATCAAAAACTTCATTTGAGAAATCCAATGCAGGGTGAACAGTCATAAGGATGAAAAAAAAAAAGTAAAATATCACGAAACCATAGAGAGAAGAGTGTGTCCCTAAAAGAGGTTAGGGTGGGATAAGTAGACATATGTCTGCAGAGGTGCAGAAAAATTTAGTTTAAGATGGGGGGGCCCAGGAGAAAGGGACAACAGGGATTCTGGGAGAGGTGCCATGGGAAAGAGGGATGTTAGAGTCCAGTAGGGACCAGAGTCTAAGGAGCAAGGCGAATTGGAGGGCATAGGGGTCCACTTGGGGCAGAAGGCTGGAGCGGAGGCAAGAGGGGATTCCAGGGAAGGAGGGAGGGAGGCAGAGAGCTGGGGCTCAGAACGGAAGAAGGTGCTGACATGCCACCTGGAGGAAGGGTGGGAATTGAGAGGGGCAGAAGGCCAGGGGAGCTCTGGTCAGGGATCTCAGTATGCAGCATGAGGGTCAGGGTATGCAATGTCGGCTCTGACCAGGGTGAGGCAGCTCACCTTGTCATCCAAGCGGGATCCGAGTGCAGCAGTGTCAGCCTCACCGGGGAGTGACCTCAAAAAGCAGAATGTCACCTCCCTAGTCCCCCAAGACCTCTTCTCCTGAGCCTCCAACGGAGGAAGCTCCACAGGGAATTAGGTGCAAGGGCCTGAGAAGGACGCACCAAGTAGAGGCTGCGGAGCAGCCTGGCAGGAGGGAAGGAAGGGCAGGTGGGCGTGGGGGTGCCAGGTGGAAGGGATAGAGGGCAGGATGTCCTTGGACGTCGCGGAGCCCAAGGAGGTGAGGACAGGGCTGAGGGCGGGGACCTGGAACCCTCGATGACTGGGGCAGACTTTGGGGGCGGGGTGTCTCTCGAAGGCTCAGAGCTCCTTGCCCAGTTTGATTTCTTTCATCCCTCAAAGGAACACCACAGTTTAATGAGCTGATTCAATTGTGCAATCCCCATGCCTGTTGATTACAGGGTTTTCCCAAAAGGCTTGGTTTGGGATTGGGATTCAAAATTTCTGCCTTCAAGGGAACAGGCCCAGATCAGTCCGGGTCGGAGGACTTTTCACCAGCAGGGGCTCGCAGCGCAGCCACCTCGGAAGACCTGGTCAACATTTGAAGAAGGGCCGGATCTGGGCCTCCAGGGTGTCAGTGACCAAGCAGATGACATCAGGAAGCCTCCGGGAGGTATCCCCGTGCACTGTCATTTCCCGCTCTCTACTCCCAGGTGCCATTTGTCCCCTGGTCCAATTCCTAGCCCCGTCCTCGGGTCAGATACTGCCCCTCAGACCACCCACCATGAGACTCAGCCTCCCTGGAGAGTGGCCTCCTGAGGCAGGAGGTTCTCCCAGGCCCTCAGGACTCTGAGCTGCACTTGTAGCCTCTGGGCCTCCCCTCCCCCCTTCCCTGAACCACATCCAGACTCAAGCCCCTGGGCAGGCCGCCCTAGGCCCCAGAGAGGTCTCCACCCCACGCCTGACCAGGACTCTGTTCCACTGACCCACCCTCCTGGAGGGCCCAGAGCAGAGACCCTGGCCCTGAGCCCACACAGACCTCAGCACACAAAGAGGCCAGACACCGCATTCCATTTAAGAACACTTTATTTGGCTCACTTTCAAATCGTTCTTCTCAAAACAGCAGAAGCGAACAAAACGATCAAAGCAGATCGCCGACTTAAAACACAGCGAAGAAAACTTCTGGTAGATAAAAAATCAACTTCTTGCGGTCATCTTTCCAGTAACAGCAATATTATATTACATTATATATATACATTACGTGATACATATGTATATAGAGAGAGAGTACATGTTATATAATATATATTACATTATATATTTAATATATATCTTATCTTACATCATATATATAATATATATCTTAGATATAGAGGATATCACATAATATTACAGTAACAGTAATATTTTCTGTTTGTGCTGATCATTCCATTGATCGTTTCAACTGTCAGTCCTCGAGGAAGGCAAAACAGGCTCCATTTCTACATGGTCGGAGTCTTCCACATCAGCCGAACTGGTTTCTCTTAAATCAAGTTTCACATAGCTTTCTGAAGTCGTGTCGATCGTTTCTTAAACCAACTTTCACATCTGTTTCTTAAATCAAGCTTCACAGAGTTTTCTGAAGTCCTGTCGATCGTTTCCTAAATCAGGTTTCACTTCTGTTTCTTAAATCAAGTTTCACTTCTGTTTCTTAAATCAAGTTTCACATCTGTTTCTGAAACCAAGTTTCACATTGTTTGCTTACACCATGTATGCAGGAATTGGGTCCCGAGGCTGCTGCTTCTGAAAGAAACATGTCATAGTTTTTAGAGGGTTAGACACAAACGGGTTTTCAGTAACAGCGGCGATCTTGGCCGTTACATGTACAAGCAGTTTCTGAGCTGCAGACCGGCACATCGGTTTTAGGAACATCCTGATCGCGTTCTCTCGAGCAGTTAATCTCTTTGGTAAACATCGCATCATCGTATCTAGGAGAAACGTTGCCATGAAGCGCTCTAGAGAGTCCCTAACGATGCTTTTTAGAGAAGAGATGATGGAATCCTTGGAAATCATAATGAGGCCAACGCTACTTAAAAAATGTTGAAAGCTACTCACCGCTCCTTCGGTCGGGAGAGGCGCCACGCAGCAGGCAGGGACCCAGGAGAAGCCGCAGGCCTGGGGAGGGTTGGCGGAGAAGAGTGAGAGGGGAGGGCCTGAGACAGAGCCTTTATTGGGGTTTCCAGGAAGGGCTCCGTGGTGGGGCGGAGCAAACAGTTGAAAGTCGTCCAATCGGAATCGTCCTGGAGGGGGGAGCGAGAGGGGCGGTGTCTGGTGGCCTGGGATCTGGCCCTGGGACAATTCAGGGCAGGGAAAAGACTGGCTTGGCTTAGGAGCCTTGGAAAAGGAGCTAGTAGTGTCTCAAGAAAGCCGCCCAAATCCCCTTGGATTTGCCTGCTAGGAAATGTTCATTTGAAGCCACGGAGGCCACAAAGGCTCCCAAACATTTGAAAACGAGAAAGAAGAAGTTGTCTAGCACCAGAAAGGCCAGCCCCCAAGACAGCCATTCACCGTCTTTAGGAACTGGCCAGTCCCGGCAGGGGCAGTCTCTCCCAGGGGCTGGAAGGCCCCCGAGTGTCACAGCTCCCAGAATACCCAAAGGAAACCCTGGAGTTCCTCGAATTGGCCCTGGGGGAATGGATGCCCACGACAACATGTTGCTGTAGGAACAGTCACTACACGACCCCGGATGGCTTCATGTGATCCCAGAAAGTGGGCAGGCGTTCCGGGCAAACGTGGACTAGGTTGACACATCTCTTGAAAACGCCACTTGGAATTCACCCGTTTGCTGGGAGATTAGAGCCGAAGTCTCAGTAACTCTTCGGTGAAGCAGGCCGAGAAATCAGTGAGGACACGGAACACTGGAACAAGGCAGGAAACTGGATCGAGAGACCTAGGCAGATGTCGTATTGTAATCCATTCTTTCAAGACAACCTGGAACATCGACGAATGTTTGCACCATAGCAGTCCAGAGTGCCAACTGCAGAAAGACGCCAAGATGGAGCGTTCTGGGAACACTGGAGTGTTAGCTGAGAAGACGGAGCGGGAGGAAAAGCAGAGAGACACCATCTCTTTGGAATCAAGCCTTTTTTTTTGTTTTTTAAAAACACTCACGCCCTGAAGGAGAAATGAGAATGGAAATTGGAAAACACGGATCAGCGACAGTGTAAGCACTTTCTGGAAAGCTCCCAAGAAGCAGGGGTAGTGGGACTTGTGGGCAAATGGGAAGGGCAAAAGTGCTTCAAGTGAAAAAGCGGAGAAGGGTGGCTGTCAGCGAGCCACCTAGCCACTTTTAAAAGTAAGACAAAGAACAAAACGCGCAAGAAAAAGGAAAATGAAGTGAAAAGCCACAGGCTCAGAAGATGGTTCCTATGAGATGCTGGCCTCCGCCCAGCAGGCTTCGGGAGCAGAGCAAAGAGAGCAAGGGCCTTCAGGAAGTCCCTGGGGCAGTCAGCTCCCAGACTGCTGTGAGAGGTGGGATGGGGCTGGGGACAGGGGCAGGTGCCTCAGAGGGATGGGGGTGCTCCCGGTAGGAGTGAGGAGCTGAGGGAGCTGGCTGCTGCTGAGCATGCGGGCTCAGTCTTCCCATCCAAGAACTCTGTCTCTCCGCAGCGGCCACAAGTGCAGAGCGTCCCTGTGCTGGGCCGCCAGCGCCTGGGCCTCGGCACCGGCCGGGCGCCCTTCAGGGTGCAGCATTTGCAGGCTGCATCCCAAATGAGTGGGATTTCGGGGGGACAGTGACCTCCAATTCCCAACTCCAATGCCTGTCCTGCCAACTTAGAAAAGGCCTGTGCACGCTCTCTGAAGTCCCCAGGGCACACACTGCCCACACCCAATGGAGCAGGAAGTTCAGTCATTGCCAGGGTTCCTCCCCCACAGGACCACCTGCAGACACAAGGGTGGCTCCCAGCTGGCCCTGCATGTCTCCGTCCTGCACCTGTTGCCACCTCCCGGCAGAGGATCCATCCTCAGGACCCTGGAGCCGCAGAGCAGGGCCCCTTAGCTGACAAGGAAGGCAGAACTCGGCCTACACATTGATGGGGAAAGGGGAGCACTGAGCATTCTGAAGACCTAGGGGTTCAGGGGAAGTTGGGCCGTCCAGCACTGCTGCCCCAGTGGGATGGGGACAGAGAAGTGATGGAGCGCTCGGTCAGGGAACAGAACTGAGAGGCCTCAGCCTGAAGCACTGAATTGGGAAGAACTTGAAGCTCTGGGGGCAGTGGGGGAAGGCACGACCCTCCCGAGGAAATGACTGAGCTGCAGCAGCTGAGAGGGCTGCGTGCTCCTGCCTGCCCTCCATCTCCTGCTCCTCCCTCCAGGAGTGAGGAGAGGGTGATTGGAGTCCAGTAGGGACCAGAGTCTAAGGAGCAAGGCGAATTGGAGGGCATAGGGGTCCACTTGGGGCAGAAGGCTGGAGCGGAGGCAAGAGGGGATTCCAGGGAAGGAGGGAGGGAGGCAGAGAGCTGGGGCTCAGAATGGAAGAAGGTGCTGACATGCCACCTGGAGGAGGGGTGGGAATGGAGAGGGGGCTGAAGGCGGGGGCGGTGGGGGGAGCTCTGGTCAGGGATCTCGGTTTCCAGCGTGAGGGCCAGGGTCTCCCGTGTGGGCTCTGAGCAGGGTGAGGAAGCGCACCTTGTCGTCCAAGCGGGATCCGAGTGCAGCAGTGTCAGCCTCACCGGGGAGTGACCTCAAAAAGCAGACTGTCACCTCCCTAGTACCCCAAGACCTCTTCTCCTGAGCCTCCAATGGAGGAAGCGCCCCAGGGAATTAGGTGCAAGGGCCTGAGAAGGACGCACCAAGTAGAGGCTGCGGAGCAGCCTGGAAGGAGGGAAGGAAGTGCAGGTGGGCGTGGGGGTGCCAGGTGGAAGGCGTAGAGGGCAGGATGTCCTTGGACGTCGCAGAGCCCAAGGAGGTGAGGACAGGGCTGAGGGCGGGGACCTGGAACCCTAGATGACCGGGGCAGTCTTTGGGGGCGGGGTGCCTCTCGAAAGCTCAGAGCTCTTTGCCTGGTCGGTCGGATGTCTTTCACCCCTCAGAGGAACAGCACAGTCTAAGGAGCTGTTTCAATTGTTCAGTCCCCGTGCCTGTTGATTACTTGGTTTTGCCAGAAGGCTCGCTTGGGTGTTGGCATTCCAAACTTCCGCCTTCAAAGGAACAGGCCCAGATCAGTCCGGGTCGGAGGACTTTTCGCCAGCGGGGGCTCGCAGCGCAGCCACCTGAGAAGACGTGGACAACATTTGACGAAGGGCTGGATCTGGGCCTCCGGGGTGTCAGCCACCAAGCAGTTGACATCAGGAAGCCTCCGGGAGGTTTCCCCGTGCACTGTCATTTCCCCGCTTTCTCCTCCCGGCTGCCATTTGTCCCCTGGTCCAATTCCTAGCCCCGTCCTCGTCCTCGGGTCAGATACTGCCCCTCAGACCACCCACCATGAGACTCAGCCTCCCTGGAGAGTGGCCTCCTGAGGCAGGAGGTTCTCCCAGGCCCTCAGGACTCTGAGCTGCACTTGTAGCCTCTGGGCCTCCCCTCCCCCCTTCCCTGAACCACATCCAGACTCAAGCCCCTGGGCAGGCCGCCCTAGGCCCCAGAGAGGTCTCCACCCCACGCCTGACCAGGACTCTGTTCCACTGACCCACCCTCCTGGAGGGCCCAGAGCAGAGACCCTGGCCCTGAGCCCACACAGACCTCAGCACACAAAGAGGCCAGACACCGCATTCCATTTAAGAACACTTTATTTGGCTCACTTTCAAATCGTTCTTCTCAAAACAGCAGAAGCGAACAAAACGATCAAAGCAGATCGCCGACTTAAAACACAGCGAAGAAAACTTCTGGTAGATAAAAAATCAACTTCTTGCGGTCATCTTTCCAGTAACAGCAATATTATATTACATTATATATATACATTACGTGATACATATGTATATATAGAGAGAGTACATGTTATATAATATATATTACATTATATATTTAATATATATCTTATCTTACATCATATCTATAATATATATCTTAGATATAGAGGATATCACATAATATTACAGTAACAGTAATATTTTCTGTTTGTGCTGATCATTCCATTGATCGTTTCAACTGTCAGTCCTCGAGGAAGGCAAAACAGGCTCCATTTCTACATGGTCGGAGTCTTCCACATCAGCCGAACTGGTTTCTCTTAAATCAAGTTTCACATAGCTTTCTGAAGTCGTGTCGATCGTTTCTTAAACCAACTTTCACATCTGTTTCTTAAATCAAGCTTCACAGAGTTTTCTGAAGTCCTGTCGATCGTTTCCTAAATCAGGTTTCACTTCTGTTTCTTAAATCAAGTTTCACTTCTGTTTCTTAAATCAAGTTTCACATCTGTTTCTGAAACCAAGTTTCACATTGTTTGCTTACACCATGTATGCAGGAATTGGGTCCCGAGGCTGCTGCTTCTGAAAGAAACATGTCATAGTTTTTAGAGGGTTAGACACAAACGGGTTTTCAGTAACAGCGGCGATCTTGGCCGTTACATGTACAAGCAGTTTCTGAGCTGCAGACCGGCACATCGGTTTTAGGAACATCCTGATCGCGTTCTCTCGAGCAGTTAATCTCTTTGGTAAACATCGCATCATCGTATCTAGGAGAAACGTTGCCATGAAGCGCTCTAGAGAGTCCCTAACGATGCTTTTTAGAGAAGAGATGATGGAATCCTTGGAAATCATAATGAGGCCAACGCTACTTAAAAAATGTTGAAAGCTACTCACCGCTCCTTCGGTCGGGAGAGGCGCCACGCAGCAGGCAGGGACCCAGGAGAAGCCGCAGGCCTGGGGAGGGTTGGCGGAGAAGAGTGAGAGGGGAGGGCCTGAGACAGAGCCTTTATTGGGGTTTCCAGGAAGGGCTCCGTGGTGGGGCGGAGCAAACAGTTGAAAGTCGTCCAATCGGAATCGTCCTGGAGGGGGGAGCGAGAGGGGCGGTGTCTGGTGGCCTGGGATCTGGCCCTGGGACAATTCAGGGCAGGGAAAAGACTGGCTTGGCTTAGGAGCCTTGGAAAAGGAGCTAGTAGTGTCTCAAGAAAGCCGCCCCAATCCCCTTGGATTTGCCTGCTAGGAAATGTTCATTTGAAGCCACGGAGGCCACAAAGGCTCCCAAACATTTGAAAACGAGAAAGAAGAAGTTGTCTAGCACCAGAAAGGCCAGCCCCCAAGACAGCCGTTCACCGTCTTTAGGAACTGGCCAGTCCCGGCAGGGGCAGTCTCTCCCAGGGGCTGGAAGGCCCCCGAGTGTCACAGCTCCCAGAATACCCAAAGGAAACCCTGGAGTTCCTCGAATTGGCCCTGGGGGAATGGATGCCCACGACAACATGTTGCTGTAGGAACAGTCACTACACGACCCCGGATGGCTTCATGTGATCCCAGAAAGTGGGCAGGCGTTCCGGGCAAACGTGGACTAGGTTGACACATCTCTTGAAAACGCCACTTGGAATTCACCCGTTTGCTGGGAGATTAGAGCCGAAGTCTCAGTAACTCTTCGGTGAAGCAGGCCGAGAAATCAGTGAGGACACGGAACACTGGAACAAGGCAGGAAACTGGATCGAGAGACCTAGGCAGATGTCGTATTGTAATCCATTCTTTCAAGACAACCTGGAACATCGACGAATGTCTGCACCATAGCAGTCCAGAGTGCCAACTGCAGAAAGACGCCAAGATGGAGCGTTCTGGGAACACTGGAGTGTTAGCTGAGAAGACGGAGCGGGAGGAAAAGCAGAGAGACACCATCTCTTTGGAATCAAGCCTTTTTTTTTGTTTTTTAAAAACACTCACGCCCTGAAGGAGAAATGAGAATGGAAAAAGGAAAACACGGATCAGCGACAGTGTAAGCACTTTCTGGAAAGCTCCCAAGAAGCAGGGGTAGTGGGACTTGTGGGCAAATGGGAAGGGCAAAAGTGCTTCAAGTGAAAAAGCGGAGAAGGGTGGCTGTCAGCGAGCCACCTAGCCACTTTTAAAAGTAAGACAAAGAACAAAACGCGCAAGAAAAAGGAAAATGAAGTGAAAAGCCACAGGCTCAGAAGATGGTTCCTATGAGATGCTGGCCTCCGCCCAGCAGGCTTCGGGAGCAGAGCAAAGAGAGCAAGGGCCTTCAGGAAGTCCCTGGGGCAGTCAGCTCCCAGACTGCTGTGAGAGGTGGGATGGGGCTGGGGACAGGGGCAGGTGCCTCAGAGGGATGGGGGTGCTCCCGGTAGGAGTGAGGAGCTGAGGGAGCTGGCTGCTGCTGAGCATGCGGGCTCAGTCTTCCCATCCAAGAACTCTGTCTCTCCGCAGCGGCCACAAGTGCAGAGCGTCCCTGTGCTGGGCCGCCAGCGCCTGGGCCTCGGCACCGGCCGGGCGCCCTTCAGGGTGCAGCATTTGCAGGCTGCATCCCAAATGAGTGGGATTTCGGGGGACAGTGACCTCAAGGGGAACCTCCAATTCCCAACTCCAATGCCTGTCCTGCCAACTTAGAAAAGGCCTGTGCACGCTCTCTGAAGTCCCCAGGGCACACACTGCCCACACCCAATGGAGCAGGAAGTTCAGTCATTGCCAGGGTTCCTCCCCCACAGGACCACCTGCAGACACAAGGGTGGCTCCCAGCTGGCCCTGCATGTCTCCGTCCTGCACCTGTTGCCACCTCCCGGCAGAGGATCCATCCTCAGGACCCTGGAGCCGCAGAGCAGGGCCCCTTAGCTGACAAGGAAGGCAGAACTCGGCCTACACATTGATGGGGAAAGGGGAGCACTGAGCATTCTGAAGACCTAGGGGTTCAGGGGAAGTTGGGCCGTCCAGCACTGCTGCCCCAGTGGGATGGGGACAGAGAAGTGATGGAGCGCTCGGTCAGGGAACAGAACTGAGAGGCCTCAGCCTGAAGCACTGAATTGGGAAGAACTTGAAGCTCTGGGGGCAGTGGGGGAAGGCACGACCCTCCCGAGGAAATGACTGAGCTGCAGCAGCTGAGAGGGCTGCGTGCTCCTGCCTGCCCTCCATCTCCTGCTCCTCCCTCCAGGAGTGAGGAGAGGGTGATTGGAGTCCAGTAGGGACCAGAGTCTAAGGAGCAAGGCGAATTGGAGGGCATAGGGGTCCACTTGGGGCAGAAGGCTGGAGCGGAGGCAAGAGGGGATTCCAGGGAAGGAGGGAGGGAGGCAGAGAGCTGGGGCTCAGAATGGAAGAAGGTGCTGACATGCCACCTGGAGGAGGGGTGGGAATGGAGAGGGGGCTGAAGGCGGGGGCGGTGGGGGGAGCTCTGGTCAGGGATCTCGGTTTCCAGCGTGAGGGCCAGGGTCTCCCGTGTGGGCTCTGAGCAGGGTGAGGAAGCGCACCTTGTCGTCCAAGCGGGATCCGAGTGCAGCAGTGTCAGCCTCACCGGGGAGTGACCTCAAAAGCAGACTGTCACCTCCCTAGTTCCCCAAGACCTCTTCTCCTGAGCCTCCAACGGAGGAAGCGCCCCAGGGAATTAGGTGCAAGGGCCTGAGAAGGACGCACCAAGTAGAGGCTGCGGAGCAGCCTGGAAGGAGGGAAGGAAGTGCAGGTGGGCGTGGGGGTGCCAGGTGGAAGGCGTAGAGGGCAGGATGTCCTTGGACGTCGCAGAGCCCAAGGAGGTGAGGACAGGGCTGAGGGCGGGGACCTGGAACCCTAGATGACCGGGGCAGTCTTTGGGGGCGGGGTGCCTCTCGAAAGCTCAGAGCTCTTTGCCTGGTCGGTCGGATGTCTTTCACCCCTCAGAGGAACAGCACAGTCTAAGGAGCTGTTTCAATTGTTCAGTCCCCGTGCCTGTTGATTACTTGGTTTTGCCAGAAGGCTCGGTTGGGTGTTGGCATTCCAAACTTCCGCCTTCAAAGGAACAGGCCCAGATCAGTCCGGGTCGGAGGACTTTTCGCCAGCGGGGGCTCGCAGCGCAGCCACCTGAGAAGACGTGGACAACATTTGACGAAGGGCTGGATCTGGGCCTCCGGGGTGTCAGCGACCAAGCAGTTGACATCAGGAAGCCTCCGGGAGGTTTCCCCGTGCACTGTCATTTCCCCGCTTTCTCCTCCCGGCTGCCATTTGTCCCCTGGTCCAATTCCTAGCCCCGTCCTCGTCCTCGGGTCAGATACTGCCCCTCAGACCACCCACCATGAGACTCAGCCTCCCTGGAGAGTGGCCTCCTGAGGCAGGAGGTTCTCCCAGGCCCTCAGGACTCTGAGCTGCACTTGTAGCCTCTGGGCCTCCCCTCCCCCCTTCCCTGAACCACATCCAGACTCAAGCCCCTGGGCAGGCCGCCCTAGGCCCCAGAGAGGTCTCCACCCCACGCCTGACCAGGACTCTGTTCCACTGACCCACCCTCCTGGAGGGCCCAGAGCAGAGACCCTGGCCCTGAGCCCACACAGACCTCAGCACACAAAGAGGCCAGACACCGCATTCCATTTAAGAACACTTTATTTGGCTCACTTTCAAATCGTTCTTCTCAAAACAGCAGAAGCGAACAAAACGATCAAAGCAGATCGCCGACTTAAAACACAGCGAAGAAAACTTCTGGTAGATAAAAAATCAACTTCTTGCGGTCATCTTTCCAGTAACAGCAATATTATATTACATTATATATATACATTACGTGATACATATGTATATAGAGAGAGTACATGTTATATAATATATATTACATTATATATTTAATATATATCTTATCTTACATCATATATATAATATATATCTTAGATATAGAGGATATCACATAATATTACAGTAACAGTAATATTTTCTGTTTGTGCTGATCATTCCATTGATCGTTTCAACTGTCAGTCCTCGAGGAAGGCAAAACAGGCTCCATTTCTACATGGTCGGAGTCTTCCACATCAGCCGAACTGGTTTCTCTTAAATCAAGTTTCACATAGCTTTCTGAAGTCGTGTCGATCGTTTCTTAAACCAACTTTCACATCTGTTTCTTAAATCAAGCTTCACAGAGTTTTCTGAAGTCCTGTCGATCGTTTCCTAAATCAGGTTTCACTTCTGTTTCTTAAATCAAGTTTCACTTCTGTTTCTTAAATCAAGTTTCACATCTGTTTCTGAAACCAAGTTTCACATTGTTTGCTTACACCATGTATGCAGGAATTGGGTCCCGAGGCTGCTGCTTCTGAAAGAAACATGTCATAGTTTTTAGAGGGTTAGACACAAACGGGTTTTCAGTAACAGCGGCGATCTTGGCCGTTACATGTACAAGCAGTTTCTGAGCTGCAGACCGGCACATCGGTTTTAGGAACATCCTGATCGCGTTCTCTCGAGCAGTTAATCTCTTTGGTAAACATCGCATCATCGTATCTAGGAGAAACGTTGCCATGAAGCGCTCTAGAGAGTCCCTAACGATGCTTTTTAGAGAAGAGATGATGGAATCCTTGGAAATCATAATGAGGCCAACGCTACTTAAAAAATGTTGAAAGCTACTCACCGCTCCTTCGGTCGGGAGAGGCGCCACGCAGCAGGCAGGGACCCAGGAGAAGCCGCAGGCCTGGGGAGGGTTGGCGGAGAAGAGTGAGAGGGGAGGGCCTGAGACAGAGCCTTTATTGGGGTTTCCAGGAAGGGCTCCGTGGTGGGGCGGAGCAAACAGTGAAAG